TATTCAGCAAGTGAAAATAAAATAAACAATAAAAGGTGAATCAAATGGACCATTTGGTAAAGTAAATCCGTTGGGCATCTTTCTTCGCCTTTAGACAATAATTCTGATGGCAAAAGAGCCAAACGGAACAGGGAAAAAGAAAAAAAGAAATGTTATAAGAAAGAGACATGGCACTCAAAGGATCCTGAAGAAAGAAAATTAGATCCGAGGTAATGGGTTATTTTATGCATGCAGTATTTGTGCATTTGCTATCATTAATGTTATTTGTTTATTTTTGAATGTAAATTATTTTTTTTTTAAAAAGCCAATAACTGGCAGATACAATTTCAAGAAGACTGCTGAGCTTCAGTACGTCCTCCTGGAAGGACATTGGCCAGTATTTATTATTTATTTTTTATATTTTCCAAAACCTTACTTACCAAAACTAAAGCACTGATTTCTTGAATAGGCTGTTCTGCAACTCAAAACAAAGCCTGCTTTGCTATTTGTCAGATAACTTCATAAAAACACAAACACAGAAGAGAGACCCAGTTTAGTTGACTCCAGTTAGTTCTATCGGCCTGTATTGGAAACTGCTTCTCACTCTGTATCCAGCGATAAAGCATAAGTTTAAGCCTAAAGAGTAAAAAATGATAAGAAAAAAAGAAAACCAAAAGAAAAAAACCCACTTGCAATAAAATGTCTTGATGCTCAATCATCCAGGTAAGGAAATCCCAAAAAGTTAATTTTGGATCATTTTCCCACTGAAAATGCTACATCCAGATGAACAGAATTAGCTTTTTGGGACTTGTAATAAAAGCAGACATTAGCTATAAGTATTAGGCTAAAGCAAAACAAACATAATTAGTCCTGCTCTAAAACTGGGCACTTTTTTATGGGATTCTACTGCCATTTTTTCTTTTTTTAGTGAATTGGCCCAGGAACTGTGACCTTTTGGAAGAAAGTGACCAGTCAGTCAGACTGGTCACAGACTGGTCACTTTGGTGTCAACTTCAAAGAAGTTACTGTTCCTAGTTATTTGTTTTTGTTGGCTGAAGATGTTATTTGTTTAAATTTAAATGATATATATGATATGATGATCTTATCTGATTCTCCATCTAAATACAATAGTATTGGTATAATGTGCCACACTCAACACTGTTCCAAAGTAATGCATTTGAATACTCAGATTACTTTTTTGTTATAACAGGTATTATGCTGTTATCCGTGTTTTAGTTACATTTTCAGATGAGTCCTGTTAAATATGCTTCCACATTTCTTTTCTTGTGACAAAAGACAAAATGCAATATTTCTGTCTCTTCCTGCCTCCTTGGTACACATAAATAATAAATACAATATGAAAAGATAGACTTTAGTACTACTGGAAGGTATGATTGTGTCAGTCAGGTCAACTAATGTGACGGCAGAGAGGACGGGTGTATTCACATCATTCTGTGCTGGGGTTATAAAAAATGTCTCTCGGCTGTTGAAGAGGTTTACATTTTGAAGAAGTACCTACAAGTATTTCCATTACACTGGTTGCAATGCCTGCTGAG